TCGGGGAAGCTCTGTTCCCACAGTGAAGCGGCCGATGTTACTGTTTCGTGCGGGGTGGGAGCCCCTCGCTCCTCGCCAGGCTTGTGCTGCCGAGTAAACGCTTTGCTTCCACTGGCCGTTCCAGGATGTTTTCAACTCGGCGATTGCGGCCTTGTTTCTCCTCGTCGTGTGCCTGTTTGCAGTAATCGCCAAGACCAACAACGGGACGCTGGCTGGAGGAGTGAGTAGGAACATCGCCAAGGCACTCTGGTGCTGACGGGAGGCCGGGTTTGACCCTCTCGGTGCACTCACGCTGTGGTGAGACCACGGTGAGAGCTCTCGTGGCAGAACGTACTCAGCACTCGCCAGCAAAAGTGAATACACGTGCAGCGTATCTCAGTAAAAAACAATGATCCCCAAATCACTAGTAATTTAAAGATATTACTCGAGTTAGGAATTACTACAGAGAGGTAGTAACACTGAAAACTATAAACTAAGAGTTTAACTAATTTGAGTAACCTGCATTTGCTTCTGTAGCTTGAAATCCTAGGTGGGAGAATCCATAGCCCTTTCAGGACTGTCCAGTCTGGCTACCGTATTTAAGAAGAAATGCCTACGATTCTGCTAAACAGAGGTGGAACTTTTTAGCAGACACGCTGGTACTCCCCTCCTGATGTGTATTGTTTTTTTCTGACATGAACCGAGAAATCACAGCAGTCAAAAATTTTTCCATACTATGAATGTAAAGATTTTTGCATACTTCAAATCAAACCAGTTTAAGCAACTGGTATTTTTAATTCAAATTCAAACTAATATAAATAACATTAATAAACAGTAAGGGGGGGGAACTCAGTCTCCTGAAATACAAGATAAGCTAAAATGTGGCAAGCAACCAAAGGAGCACAGGACTTGCCACAGGAGATTTTCAAAGTGAGCTTAGGAGCCAGGGAGGTGCAAAGCTGTTGTCTCTGCTGGCGCTGGCAATGACAACCTGAGCAAAAAAGGCTTTCTGGTAAAGTGACGGCTGTGCTAGAAGATCATTTCTGTTCTCAGCTGTGAAGTTGGCAGAAATTCAAGGTGGAGGCAGGAGACGAAGCGGGTAGCTCAGCAACCAAGTTTGGGCAGAGTGCATGACCTCCTCAGTGCTGGGAGGAACAGCTGGCGCTGGGCCTGCCCTCCTGGGGCGCGCTGCCTGCCGCTGCGCCCTCGGAGAGCGCTTGCTGACACCCCGAGCAGGGAATTCCGTTTCAGAACACGCTTGCATCAAAAAAAATACCCACGCATGGGATGGGGCTGAAGGGGAAGAGCTGGGTGAGTGAACTCGGCGGTCATTTTGCAAACACACTTTTCCGGTCTGGTCTCTTTTCTGCCTGGAGTTGTGTGTTTTTTAAATACGTACGTTTTCTTCAGTTGGGAGCATGCTTGCCGTTCAGCGCGTCAGAGGAGAGGAGCGCCGTTTTTTCCCGCTAGGCTTGTTTCTACGAATATTGACTTGTCTCTGGGCCAATACCACTAGGTAGGCAGCCGGGCTTTCATTAGGGATAGAGCCTGCTCTGGCATAATGCAGCGTTACCTTGGCTTTCAAGGAGAACAGGTCCGCTCCAAGGCTCCAGACAAACATCAGACGAAGCCAGGGTGCAGACTGCTGATGGGATTTACATGTGGATGTTATTTAATTTACCAGCTGTCTGGGGTCACGCGTATGTTTGGAAGGCCAGAACCAGCTTAGGAAGATGTGTTTACTGCTTCTGTGAGGAACGGTAGGCGAGTCGCTACGGCAGAAGATAGAGATTCTATGGGGGCACTAACGTTACCGTTATTTTTATAGGTGTTTGGTCTTGTGCTGCTTGTTCTCTGTGTTGTCGACGCGGTTCTTCTTTTCCGGAAGATTAGCTTTGGTGGACCAAGAGGGAGGAACACTCCTGCGAAATGAGATGACCGTGTTAGTGGAAGAACGGTTTCCCCATTGGTGGCTGGTTTACCGTTCTCCTTTGAAGAATTTGTGTTTCCATGTGTTCGCCTTTGAATGTTTATGTGCATTTTTGCAGGTATTGTTCATAAGTTTTCTTACATTTGCGAGCGTGGTTTCAGTGTTGCAATTTCACCAGTGTAAGCGTCACAGAAAATCGTCGTGTTTTTCTAAACCCCGTTACGTTTTTACCTGTATGAAAACCGCGATTTCTGTAATAAAGAGGATCCAGGCGGGCACGAGCGCACCGTTTAACGTTATGTGCTTACCGAGCGCGCCCAAGGCGAGC